CGCCCATAATTAAAATATTTGAATTTTTTAAAACTTCACAAATTAAAAAATAGAAAATAAATTTGTAAACAAAAGTTCTTTAACTGGATAATTTTTCTAACCTCAAGCTTTAGGCTTTCGCCCATTACAAGCATGATTTCAAAAAGTTTGTTGCATTGCTTATTATCTTCTCCATGTCCCATAAATCTTGGCCATACGTAAATATTTTCTCTTTCTAATATTTTAATAATTTCATCAATTATACGATACGTTGTAATTATTTCTTTCCCGTATTTTTGAAATAGTTTGAAGTGATCATTTGAATGTTCATTCATTATGTGATCGAAGGTCGGATCTGTAGGCAACGATCCTTGCCCTGGAAAAATTCAATTACGTTATTCAGCACAAAAATTGAACGCTCTAAATATTCTGATTCTGATTAACTGTATAATTTTAAGTTGCCTAAATGAATGATTGACAATTAATTTCTTTTGTACATGTGATAAAAATTTGTAATCTTATCAAACATTTCAAAACTATCAAATAAATTGTATAAAAAATAAATAATTTTGTTTTGAATATATTTAATTAATTCAAACAATTAATTAAAAGTAAATTAAATTATTGACTAACTATTTTCAGCCATTTCAATGTTTTTCTCAATAGAATTATTATTTATAAGGCCCCGGTATTTTCAATTGTTAAAAAAATGTTAATCTATTTTTACAAATTTCAAAAATAAACCATTTTAAATTTAAATTCTTTCTAAGTAAGAACTAAGCTTTGGCTATGCTGAAGGGCATTTATAAGTTCAATTCGAGTGTTATTAGCCCTAAATCTTTCAATCTCGAATTGATAAAAACTTGATACAAAAAGAAATAATCATATATTTAGAATAGTTACTTATACAATATTTTTTATTCTGTATATATGATTATACTTATTATTGGTATTATCTATAAGCTTATGTGATTAAATGAAGACCTTTTCAAATATAAAATAACAAAGTCCATTTGATTATGCAAAACAAGTTAAATCCCGTTTAATCAATTTTGTAGAAATGCAACTTTATAAATTGGACCAAAATCTCCAAGATTTTACCAATTTAATAACAAATGCCTAAATTATTATCAAAATGAATATACAGTGGATATAGTTTTGTAATTTTTGCTAGAGACATTTTATTTTGGAATAAACTCATTTTGAATGTGTATTTATATAATCCAATATTATGATAATTTCTCAGTCAATTATTACTTTTGCAGTGCATCAATCTATTATATTTTTTATTCTAAAAACCAATAATTACAATTATAAAAATAATTGGATGTAATTATAATATTGTCAGTGGCGGATTTAGGAGGGGGGCTGGGGGCCATGGCCCCCCCCGTTATCATCAGTTCAAAAAAAGGTCGCCAGCATAAATTTGGCCACGCTACCACAAATCTTGGCTCTTTGTCCAAATTTGAAAAAAAATTTGAACATTTAAAAATTTTCAAAATTTTGGCCCCCCCATCAAAGTTGTCTAGATCCGCCACTGAATATTGTCAATAATCAAAATATTATTCGAATCGACCGCAAAACTAGTAAACATCGAGAATAATATCAATCACGTGATGCTAACAAACACACTTCCTTCGTTGATGGATTAAACTTGTTTTGCGCAACTCATAACTTTGGATTTAACGCCATATGCACGAAATGGGTTCTTTTGCTATAAAAAAATTACATGAATATAACGTAGTTTGCACGAAAATAATCAACAATAATCAACCAAAGAGAAAAATTTAATTCAATAAATCACGAATAATCGCTCCTCAATTCATTTTCATAAACCTTTCAACAGATTAGGTTGAATTATAACGTATAATCTGAATTATAATAATAATTCATATATATACAAGTGGTTTTCTCGATTTGATAAAAACATGATTCAAAAGAAATAATCATAAATCATACACTTAGTAAAAAAAAACCGTAATAAAATTTCAAATACTGTATTTGATTAATTGATTGATTGATTGATTGATTGATTGATTGTTTGATTGATTGATTGATTGGTTGGTTAATTAATTGATTGATTGATTGATGATATTTAATTATTTATCGTGCTACAACCGGGTTCGATTCCGGTAGAAACCGGAACATTTTTTGCTTATTTTTTATATGAATTTGATTATTCATCATTATAAGACATGCTTTATAAGATTTATTGTCAAATTTTATGTCATAACCAATATAACCAAATTAAATTTACACCACTTTTGCAATGTATAATTTAACGATCAGGTTCGTGCTTGGACAACTAACAAGCGATCCTGGCTACCCAACAACTTCAAATGTGCACTACAATTAAGTTGTTGAGAAGATAGGATGGCCTGTTATCTAGATGCAACTTTCGACGCAGCTAAACAGCGAAAGCATCGTTGCGACATCTGAGCAAACACCAGCCTGACATATAGCCTTCAAACAAATAAATACACAATCAACATAATGATGCTGAACAAAGCATCTACATAATAATCCATTATCATCACTTCTTCATCCTCATCTTCATGCTCATTATCATCTTCTTCTTCTTCATCGTCGTCATCATTAGCTATCGCTTAAGTAGTGTTTTCATGGTCTCTGAATGTTACGAGGTTCGATTAAGTTTGTATAATAATAATAATGATGATGACGACGATGATTTAGCTATGAAGTTAGATTCGAAGTTAGAAGAAGAAAGAAAAAAGGAAGAAGGAAAGAAAAAAAGAAAAAAAAAGAAGCTATATGATCATAAAACATCAAAGTAGCAAATGAAATTTTAAATCAAATAAATTTGTAGAAATTTGGATCAAACTTGGACAGCACGATTTTAAATTAACTGAATTTTTTTTATAAATTTCGCTGGCAGACCAAAACACAAACAATTGCAGAAATCGAAACGTGAACGAACAAATGCATGCACCAAACATCTTTATGGAGAGATAGTGGTAATAACTCGACCACAAATACGAGGCTGAAGTACACAAGCGAATCTTAATTAATTTCATACTTAAGATCAACTTCAAATTTTATAATATACCTATAGAGTGATATATGCACGTGAATTGTGATAAACGAACTGTATGTATATTTGATTCGGGTATGAGTGCAGATACGAATGTTATGTGGAAAGTCTAGCTGTGAATGTAGTGGAGAGCCGTACAACATGTTTTCCCATCGTTTAAATCTTCTCTCATTATTTCCATCTCCGCATTTTTTAAATCCAGGCTTACGTTTTTAGTGCTACCAGCTGCAACGTCCACAAGTTTATATATTGATGAAATTTTTCATTTTGTGGAGGTCCTACTTTGCGGTTGCCCTGTTGTTGGGAAATTCCCTATTTGTGGAGAATTTAAACATAACGATATTCCTATTGATGTAGGGAAAAAAGTTAAATTATTGTTAAAATACGAAAAAAAAATCTTTTCAACAGTATTTTAGAACACACGCACACACATAAATTGTTCCCGTTGTTACTAAGTATCTCATCATAAATTAGAACGGAAGTTCTCTCCAATCAAACCTTCTACCTTTCTAGCAATTATAATTTCAACAGTCTTTCGAAATGTCTGGGACAGCTGTAGAGCAAATTATAAAGATAAATTTAGGTCTCGGTCCAAAACAGACCTGTTACATACGGCAGCTTGTACTTTCTGATGTTGGTAGTAGCAAGGTAAAACACGTCTGTGTGGATGATGTTTCCTTCAAAATAGGCATTTTTGTAAGGTGAGGTTTTTGTTATGCTTTCAGTTGGTAGACTGGAATAGAACATGTTTTCTAGAGATTCCATTAATTGATATTGCCTCTGGAGTGGAATTAATTTGAAACTTTCTACCCATTCTACTTTTTTCATTTTTTCTCTTTCAGGCGCCAGGTATAATGCAAATTCATTCATGTCCTCGTTGCTCAGGCGATGATCGTCGAAGTTATCACTTAGATATTTTATGTACAATTTTTTTCGTTTGCTAATTAACTTTTTTAAAAAAACTTTTATATACTCCAAAGTGACATGATCTTGTGTGAATGTGTCGGCATCTAACAAATCAATTGTCTCTTCAGACATTTTGAGCGAGCGAGTATTCAAAAGAATTTTAACTGTATGAACAAGTTTGTTGAACACTCCTTGCTTTTTATAAGGTGTTCCATCTATTAATAAATAAAAGATAGTACCTCCTAAATATAAAACAAAGTAATATTTGACTAGTTTTACTGATAAACCTTTGCTCAATTGATGTTCGGTAACTAATTTCTCGTTCTAATTTAATAACCAGTCAACAAGTGGCTCAAAAAGTATTGAAACGATCTGGTAATTAACAAAGAACAATCGAAAAAATTAGCATCAAACACAATTAAATGCAAGTGCATGCGTGGGTGTGTGTTTGCGTACGTGTGTTACAGTATGTGTAGTAGTAGCAGTAGTATGAGAAGTGGGAGCAGTGATCCAACAATTAAATTACATATTGGCAACTGCAACAACATTTGCATTTTTAAAATCCATAGTTCATTCGTAGTGAATTTGATTAATGGTTGACCAATGCATTACTAGCGACTATAAAATTCTGGAACTGGGAAATTTCTTATTGGCGCTACTTAATCAAAAATATTCAAATTCTTAATTCAAAACTAAGTTCAATTTCTCAACATTGCGACAAACATGCTAACAATAAAAAACCAATTACAACAATACATTTAATCTGGTCATACGAAAAAGTAAATTTTCAAAAATTGGTAACAAAATCATATTTCAATTCTATTTGTTTAAAAAATGAATTGTAAAAAAGGTGGCAAACTTCATTAGATGTCAACTTTTCTGGCTGGTTGATTGTATCTTCAAAATTTCAACCATTCATTTCATTTTCTTCAATACACGGCAATGCCAAGTTGCACAACCGCTATTGACTCATTGTAGCTCTTAAGTAATTTAGTATTAATTTCAACTTACTGAATGATCGCTCACAAGTAAAAATTGACACCCTTATAGTTAGTAAAGTTTGAAGAGCAACTCGTAAATTGGAAAAACGCTTTGGCCTCCGTATTTAATTATAAATTTAAGAAGATTTTCTGATATTAAAATTTTTGTTTCACGTGTGTTTAGTACCATTCTACAATCACATATTTTGAGATACAATTCATTATATTCTTAAAAATTTTAGAACTCCGCTAAATAAAAACATTGTATTTTCAAAATAGCATTTTTTATTTTCTAAAAAAATTTTCAAATTTTTGATCCGCTTCATTTAATTGTGCAACGTATCAAATCAAACAATCATTGTATTAACTATTATTAACGTTCAGTCGTACGGTTTTACTTCGAAAGTTCTTCATAGAGTTCGTATATAAATTCGTACGTTCCTTTGATTGTACTTTAGATTTAGTATTTAACTGGCATTTTTTATTGGTATTGGCCGTAGGATTGTGTCGTTGAGTGTCAGCGCGTGCTCCAAAAAGCCGGCGTCAACAATCTCAACTTAGGCGAGACCCTCAGGTTGGAAAACCTTTAGGTTTGCGATATACTTATCGTTCAGAATTGTGGTTCTGACGACGGCCCCGCAATTTTAAAAAGCTTTTCCAACAGATGAATCAATTAACGATCATTCAATTAGTTATTACAACATTTAATAAGTTGAATTTTGTCGTAGCCACTTTAGTTGAAGCAGCAATGGTTGCGATTGACTTTGCAGTACGAACAGTTGGTGTAGGTTTCAAAGGTTGTAATTAAATTTCTTGCCACAGCGTTCAATGGTTTACACGGAAAAGAAAAAAAGTTTTGTGCTGAATCAATCTGAAACAGCAGACCGTTGTGAATGTGGGTGAACGTTCTTGAAGCAACTGAACGTATTTCGAAGGTATGAGAAAATTCATTTACTCATAACAGTTTTTGAGATTATTTTCTTAACACAAGAAAAACATGCCAATTAAATTCCCCGTCTTATCTTAGACCTTTGATTTTAATTGGTTGTTCCTTGTCTCAACTTTTACTTGCATATTGATAAGAACTTTGAATGTTAAATATCATATTGCATGTGGATATCATACATCACTTTGCATGTCAATTATAACTTTACATGTCAATTATCTATTTGTATAATAATTCTAACTTAATGCAAAGTGATTGTTATTAAGTTTTTTGTTTGTTTTTTTTTTGTTTTTATGAAGGCAAAATTAAACTTTATCCTTCATAACGTCGTTTCTTCATTATTTAGTTTATAATGACATCATAGCTTTCTTAACACAATTCAATTTAATTGAATGTAAGTTCAATTGGGGAGGTACAAGATTAACGAGTCTTCACATGCGCTGTGTTGGTGTGTGTATGTTATAAAAATAAAATAATGCAAAGTTAATAACAAAGTGGTGAAGCAGCAGATATAGCAAAGAAATCGTGCAACAAAGAAACGCAAAGTTGGTTTGCGAATGTATATAACGCGAAGGTTAGGTTGTACATGTATCAAAACTTAATTTACGGTGCTCCGATAACAACTCTGTAAATTAACAAATACGAATCGTGGATTTTATAAGTACGAAAGATTTAAAAAATAAATTTCATTCATCGCTTCTACTACTACATTTCCCAAGATAAAAATGTCATCTGATAAAGAGTTTGGAAATAACCATGCTAACAGTGGGCCAGCTAGATGTTTAGAGTTGACTTCACAAGCACATGGTGAATTCACGGATGTTGCAGTTGGAGGTGCAAAAGAGGCAAGCACCGATTCTGAAGATGCCCAGGAGAAAAAAATGAAAGAAAGGAACCAAAGGATGGAAGAAGAAATTAAGAAATCTGAACTTCTCAACAAAATAATTATCACTCCAACCATTACATCAGCCACATCTGAAGTCGATGGACGATCCATATGGGTCGGCAACGTAGACTATGGGGCTACATTGGAAGGTTTGAATAAACACTTCGAACAATGTGGTGTCATAATGAGAACGAAAATTCTACGTGACAAAATTAGCGGCAAGTCTAAGGGATTTGCATACATTGAGTTTTCGGACGTTGTGTCTATTGAATTGGCCTTAAAACTGAATGAGTCACTGAATGAGATTTTATAAGTACGAAAGATTTAAAAAATAATTTCATTCATCGCTTCTACTACTACATTTCCCAAGATAAAAATGTCATCTGATAAAGAGTTTGGAAATAACCATGCTAGCAGTGGGCCAGCTAGATGTTTAGAGTTGACTTCACTAGCACATGGTGAATTCACGGATGTTGAAGTTGGAGGTGCAAAAGAGGCAAGCACCGATTCTGAAGATGCCCAGGTGAAAAAAATGAAAGAAAGGAACCAAAGGATGGAAGAAGAAATTAAGGAATCTGAACTTCTCAACAAAATAATTAACACTCCAACCATTACATCAGCCACATCTGAAGTCGATGGACGATCCATATGGGTCGGCAACGTAGACTATGGGGCTACATTGAAGGGTTTGAATAAACGCTTTGAACAATGTGGTCTCATCAAGAGAACAAAAATTCTACGAGACAAATATAGCGGCAAACCTAAGGGCTTTGCATACATTGAATTTTTGGACGTTGTGTCTATTGAATTGGCCCTGAAACTGAATGACTCACTGTTTTGCGGAAGACAAATTAAAGTCACCGCGAAGAGAACCAACATACATGGTCTGTCAACTACAGACAGAAAACCGAGAGGGAGAGGTATAAGGTCAAGGGGTGGTCCAATGGCAGGAAGAGGTCGCTATTTAGTTACAGCACAGCACATTCCAACACCTGTGCCAAGGTTCGATTCATACATGGAACAACAGCCACAGTACCCAGCCTACAGAAGCAGAGGTAGCAACAGGTCAAGAGGGGGATCTCGTTACAGACCATATTGAAGTAACATTTCCTTCTTTGTGGATCTTCTCACCTTTTGTCAATAATGCGCTATATGAAGGATGATGTCACCATTATAATTTCATGATTTTTAGAAAGCTATGATGTCATTATTATTTATTTGTACTTTATATTTTTTTATTATATTTTTTCTGTCATTACTAATGTTGTTGCTGTCATCTGATTATTTTCCTTGATATGCATTTTTTACATTGATATTAATTAAATTTTTTGTCAATTTTTGTCAATTTGTCTGCCAATTATATTTTATCATCATCCTCATCATGATTATTATCATTATGATTATCATGTGCAGTCAGTAGCGGATCTATGGGAAATCGGGGAGGGCCATACGACCCCCGTTGTGAGCAATATTTGTATAAAAATCAGTAAAATTCAAAAAGGCCAATAGAATCTAGAAAAAAGTTATAGAGCAACCTTTTGCTAAAAAAAAATAAAGTTGTTAATCACTAAGTTTTGTGGTTGTGTCACGTGTTAAGCCGTCGGCAAACGAGTTAATTAAAAATTTTTATTATTATTATTATTAGAAATAGCTCGGGCATAGCCCATTGCCAACCAAATAAAAATCGAAAAATCAAAAGTAACAAAAATAAACCCTTAAAAATTAAAAACTGATTAAGATAAAAATCAAATTGTCATTATAAAATTAAATGAGTTAGCTTCATTAGATTTTTAACAAAGTCATTACAGTGGCAATCAAACAGGAAATTGAATCAGCAACAAAATCTGTCTAGTTAATACAAACACAAATATAATAAAAAACCAAAATTGAAGACGAACCGAAACAAAGGGATTTTTAACAGAGAATATAAAAAAAAAATAAAAAAAACGAAAATTTAAATTTATAAATATAGGAAAATAAACAAAAGACACAATATTATTGAGATTATCAGAAATTATCAGAAATTAGCCCTCCAATCAAACATGACATCTCCAAAAAAATTGTCTATTGCCAAGGTTTTAATTGGTTAATTGCGAAGTTTAATTAGTTGAGTTTCTCCGTTAGGATCAATGAAGACTCGTGAATTAAACTTTTATTACAATAAATTATTAGTGCACATTATTTGTTGATCCGTTTGTATTTTATTAGGAGAGGATAATGAAATCACTCTTCCTGTCAAGATTGTGTGGTTAATCTAGCTACCATTTCAATCGGCATGTCAGCCAATTCTTCTTCTTCTTTTTTTTCACAGTATTTTATTAACACTGTTGATGCCAAAATCGTTATAAATTCAGGCGACTCTAATGACGTAACATGAATATTATGTTAAACAAAATATTTCAATAATTTTACAAAAATGTAATTCTTTTTGTATTTTTGAAAATATTGCCAAATGCCCTTCTGTTCGAGACCAAAAAACCAATATTAATTGCGAATTTAATTAGTTGAGTTTCTCCGTCAGGATCAATGAAGACTCGTCAATTAATGAATTTTTTATTTACTACTTTACAATGAATTGTGTAGATTTCACTATCAGATGATTAATTACTTTTTTAGTTCACTTTAAAAGAAACTTACTAACTTTATTATCAGATAAAACATTAAAGTGATAAAAATTAGAAGATCCAGATCGAAGAATCGAAGACACTCTCGTTACGATTCCTCCTCCAGCGACGAATACAGCCGAAGACGATCAAGATCTCCTTACTATGATTGCTGTAACTTTGATTATGAAGGAAGAAAATCCAACTTTCGAACAACGAAAAGAAGAGTTAATTGTTATCAATCTCGACCCAGTGAACGTCACAGAGAAGACGACCGGGCTGATTATTACTATTCATCTGTAAATAGAAATTGACATGATTCCCGGGGAAAATATGCGACACATTCACGAGACGAAAAATCCTCTAATTTTTACCAAAGGACTTCCTACAAACAAGGAACAAAAAGAAAACGCTCTCAAGAAAGTTATATGGCAAAAGGTAAAAACGAACAATCCTATAACAATCAATCATCTAATTACTACCAAAGGACTTTTCCTATAAACAACCAGTTCCATATGAAGTGACAAAAAATGAAAAACATCGAGGCGAAAAAAGAAAACGTGATGAGGATGGCAGTCCATACGATACACATCGCACAAAAGTTACCAATTTCCTCAACGGTTCCCCCTGTAAATCCCAATTGGATGAGTCCTCTGATGATGCTGAGAGTCAAAATAACGCTGACTATTTGAAAAAAGAAATTGAGATTTTCGAAAAAAGGCAACCACACATTGCGAAATCTTTCCATGAAGTACAGGACTGTGATGAATTTGCTATTTACTACGATGGGGCCGCTATTGAATGGGGTATTTATGAACTTCTTAAGGGGATTGAACCATTGTAACACGTTAATGTTTGGTACTGGGCTGTTGTTGTTTATTTTACTTTTATTACTTATATAATGATTTTTAATTTTTCATTATCACTCCGATGCAGTGAGAAAGTCACATTTTGTTTACTCGTTCTTTTTTGAAACTCGTGAATAACTGCACTT